AGTTTGCAAGTGTTTTGGATTTTGCAAGTGTTTTGGAGTTTGTAAGTGTTTTGGAGTTTGTACGTGCTTTGTCTCTAGGGGCCACCGTACTCTACAGTGAGAAAGATTATTCACAAGTGAAAAACATTCAAGACAGCATTTAATGTTCCCAGAGTTGGACATACTAAAAAAATTCATCCATTACCAAAGATCAGACCATGCAATGCTCAGAGAAACTGCAAAACGCCAAGAGCTACAGGCTTCAGTTAGCATGTTAAATGTTAAAGTTTAGGGCAAAACAATTCGAAAAATAGAGAACAAGTATATCTTATATTGAAGGGCTACCTTTACTCTCTAAAGAGAACATGGCAGCATGGCTTTAGTTTGCAGAGATGCATTTAAACAAATCTATAGACAGTACATTGTGTCTATTTCATGCTTTGCCTCTTCAAAATGTGAAACGGACACACATGCAGAAGTTGCATTACCGCCAGGTACCAGGGGGAGATAATAAAGGCAAAAAACATATGCAGTGCCTTCCAGGGTCCTCAGTGATCAGAAACAATTTAACTAAGTGGCTAATATATATATACACACATGTAAATTTGTTAATAATGTCTGTTTAAATGCTTTCTTCTGATTATTTTCATGTTGGCTTGAAATTAAATATTTCCCTCTGCTTTTACCACAGCTTACTGCAACTTCTGCATTTGTGTCCTTTTAACAATTCAATAAAAAGTGTATAATGACACGGTGGACCAGCATGATATCTGGTTGCCTTTAAACATACAACACCAAAGTGGAGATGTTTGGCCATAATGCACATCACCATGACTGGTGAAAACTAAACACAGAATATCAACACAAACACCTCAAACCAACTGACTTGCACTCTCTTTATTATAGATCATTTTCAGACCTGTGAGGACATTTTTATTTTATTTTTATTTTATACTTATATGCATAAAGAATTGAAAAATGGTGTACTTTATTTTTGCCATGACTGCACTAATGCAACATGGTAACATTGAGCAGGTCAAATCTTTACAACTTTACTCCTCACAGTAGCATGCTAACTTTTGCTAATACAAGTTATTACAAAGCAGATCTTGGGAACTACATCTGCAGATTCTTAGTTTCGCTGCCACCCTTTTTGACTGGACAGCAGCTCCAGAAATATGTCTGATAAATTTCATGAGGCATGCTACAATATTTCAGTTGGGACTAAACCGCTAAACCAAACTGCTAGCATGCCCAATGCTATGTCGAGACTTCACTTTGAATAAACTGAACCTGAATTCAATTTTGAAGAAATATCTCAAGTTAACTCTAGTATTTGGGTGCAATGTTTGAAGTGTTGAATAACCAAGCATACATGAGGAAAAATCTGTCTGTCTTGTCTACATTTCATTAAAAAATAAGCCAGGGAGGCCTTCAGCTTTGATCGGATTCAAACAGAAGTCTCTTTATTGTTGCAGCTTTTAAAAAGAAAACCTTCCAGTGTTACAAGCCAGCACAGACAGTACATTCCTATATGAATCAGTGTAATTAGTCAGTTATAAAGCTAAAGACTGCCTTTCTGTCTGCCAGGTCTACTGCCTTCAGACGTGTTCAGTCTGAAACAGACAAAACTGTACCAAGTGTCTCTGAAGTTGAGTTTTAACTAAAGAACCTCCAGAGTTATGTTCAAATACATATTTCAGTTCATGTGCAATGAGGTTGCATTAAAGTCTTTTAACCTTAAACTGTTAAAAAATGAGTCTAATGATAGCGGTGGTTAATGATGTATCTAGCTCGCGTAATGACCTGAGGTAATGATTGAGCTGCTGATGAGACATTTAATGACTAATAAATGTGCTCTGTTAAAGCCACTAAGGCTAGGTGATAGTGATAAGAGCTTGACTAATGAGCGAGTGACTTGGCATGGAGTTAACAAGTGTGTCTTTCTGTGTGCGTACGCAGTCATATTCACATTTGGCAATCAGTTCAGTGACTACATTATGTGTCATTTTTGTGTAAAGTCACTCATCTTTGAGAGAATTAATCCAACTAAAAAAAAACAGAATCTATAGCAAGCGTTCTCAGATATATTAGTGTGTCCTTACTGTTTTCATGCCTACGATGGACTGCTCAACCTTGGAAACGTAGGTGACATGGTCTTCGTTGGAGCGCAGCTCTCTCTGTTGTATTCTTTCATAGATTCCCACCACCATGTCTCTGGGGATATCTGCTCCATCATCCACACCTAAGACAGGAAGAGGCTGATTACTCATAAATACACACACGCTTTACAACACGGTTGCTTTACAGGATATGGAGTCATTGCTTTTTTTTTAACAGTGGCAGATGAAAAAAAAGTGTGTCTACGCTGGCATAAATATAAATAGCAAAAAATGCAACTACTTTGTGTGCATGCTACATTTCTTTGTTCTGCTTCTTCATTTGATTTGTGCAAAAATTGGAAAAATGAATAGCGCTTCCTCGCTCTGTCCCCTCATGTGTCCTTCTGACGCTTTCTTTTTTCCTTTCACCGTCTCCATTAAGTAATGACAGAAAGCCCCGTGAAAGGAGGTTAATTGGCAAGCGAAAGGTTAAGACCCAGCCTCATCTCTTGGAAGATTTTCTGTCTGGAACACAGTGCAGTTCAAGGCCGTGACATTTTGGAGCAGGTAAAGCTGCATGTCATTAGGCTGAAAGGTTGCCCTCGAGATGCTCCCCATTATATCGATACAGCTGCACCACTGTGTGGTACATTGAACCTTCAATGGGGCAGGATGTGTTTGGAGAAAATGAAGCTGCCACAAGTGACGGCGGTGTCAGTGAGGCACCCGGGGACACCGCTGAGACATCACTGCACATTATGGAGTCAGGGGGAGAGAAAGAGATGACCAGAGGGAAAAGTGCGTAAACTGTCACATTAATAAGCAGCATTTTTTTTTTGCTGTTAATTGTCTCGTGTTCTCTCTTTTTCTTTGCCACTTTTTAGGATTTTAAATAGTGTTTTTAGCCTTGCTAGCAGCAACCACTTTGAGCCAATCTGGAGTAGCTCAACAACAATTAAATTGATTGAAATGACATTATGTGTACTTTTTTTAATAGTAGTTTTTTTTAAAAATGCACTTTAAAAAATAAAGCCAAGGTGGACGTAGCTTAGACCTGCTTTCTATGCAAAGGCTACCAGATGGTGATAGTTATGACAGTGAAATTACTTTTGGTCATATAAATGTCTATGGGAAAACAGCTATCTGACTTGATCACTATATGATCATCATGACACATGAACCCAGCATTAAAGTGTTTAAATGCTGAGTTTATGTGTCATGATGATCAAAAAATGTAATTCTGTTTTGTAAATCTTGGTCACACTATGTCTTAAAATGGAAGGTTTTCTGTGGTATAAAACCACATGTTCAATGGCTAACGACTTGTCAGACTTTTTACGGTTTATCATCATCATGAAGATGTCAGCATTCTGTTAACACAGCCTTAGAGAGGTGCAAGTATGTAGACTCATACCCGACCCAGACTCCAGGAGTACAGGACAGGAAGTTATTAGTGTTTTTCTGCAAGAGAAAGCAATGCACCACTTTGTAAATAGAGACCGTAGGACAACAACAAACGCTAAATGATTCGGAATGACAAAATACTTTGGTTAATGTGGTTAACAGGGTATGAACATTCTTCAACGAGAACTGAAGGTGAGATTTTCAGTGTTAATCATCTCTGTCAATAGAAATGTGCTAGCTAACCTCAAGGGCTAGAGTGTTTACAGTTGCTTAGCAACTGTAAACACCATAAGCTGATCCAGACAAACCAGTACACATTAGAGGCACTTGTTGTTGTTTTGTGGCCACTATTTCAAAAAGCCTCTAATTTCTTTCTTTCTCTCTTTTCTTTGTGAGGAGTGCTCACGTAATCATAATTTTAATCACCCAGAATTAAATACCAGATATGTCACAGATGAGTCAGTGAACAGTTTAGGAGGCTTAAATGAGTGATTCTTATATCAGATATCCTGGGACGAACATCAGTCCTGAACTAAATTTCTCTCCTGAAATTCCTTTAGTCTGAGTCTGACATTACTCATGTTTCCCTTGCAACTCTTTATCTTGTTTTGTGCTCATCATCCTCAAGCTTAAATCTGGCTTTTCATGAGGTGTACTGATTAATGCCAGCCCTCTACAAGAACTTAGGAAGGGAAATGCATGTGCTCTGAAAATACAAGACCATCCACCAAAAAAAGAGAAAACAGAAAAGAATCCAATAACTAAGATGTTACAGTTTTTCAGTGAGTTGAGTCACTAGATTAATTAGGCTGGTGTATATTGTGTTGCCCTATTGTGGATTGCTTTAACACTGACAGTCCGTTTTAATTGAGATAATGAATGTTCTATAGTTCTTCATTACTATTGGTTTCTGGTCCATAATTGCTTTTCACCTTAGCCAATTAGCTGAGTGAACTGCATGTTTTCTTCCATCAATATGTTTGACAGACACAGTGGAAGAGAAAAGAGGAGGAACATAATATAAACAAGTAAAGACAGATGAATAAACAGACAGCGTAATACTGTGACTGAAATCAAAACAAAACAGAAGAATGGATAGGGAGACAAAGAAAAAAACGAGCAGAAGACAAATAGAGCGGCCAAGAGAGAGTGGCGTATCTTAATTTGCATGAGATGTTGAAATTGATTTTCCAACTTAATTTAATTGTGAGGAACAGTCTGGATGAATCTATTAAAGTTGTTCTGCATCGACCTCGGCAATCTCTGATTGATTGCACAGAGTGAGAGCAAAACTATGACGCTCATGTCTCTTTCTCAGCGCTTGCCGAATGAGCATCTGTCTGCATACTGGAGACGAGATTTACAGGTGCTTTCTGTCGGTGCCGCTCTGAGTGACTGTGTAAAGCGAATCAGGCAGGAAGAGAAATGTAACCTAATCTTTATCCCCTGAATTTATGCAGGGAGGTTTGATTGAAACTGTTGGACACTCAGTTCTTCTGAGTCATGTGGGATTGGCTCCACAACAGGAATCTGTACCAGAAGTTACTGGTGAGGCAGAGGATTTAGCAGCTTTCTCATCTAGAGAAATACAAACTTTGCGTGAAAAAAAAAATCTCCTTCTGACTGTTTTAATTTTAGGCCGCATGTAACTCAACTTATGGGATGTTGCTTGTCTCATTCAATGCCCTTGCTCTATAGGCTATATTATATAACGCATAGTGCAACACATAACACAGCATAGATTATAGATTACTGTTCTAGATCTGCACACCCTGCTTGCACTGCATTAGACACCCTTTTATCTTTGGAACTGCCTTAATTCTTCATGGCATTGATTCAACAAGGTGATGGAAACATTTCTCAAGCAACTGCTGCATGTATGGAGGATTAAATCTGCCAAATTCAAAGCAGAAATAAAAAATATGATATAAAAGAATAATAAAATAGTCAAAGTATAAGATGGCAAATTAAAGAAGATTAAAACAAAAGCAATACACACAGTATATTCATAAACTGTACTAACGACATAAAGCTAAAAAGAAAACCAGTGCTTTTTAGTCAACTTTATTTTTGTGGCCGTTATCCTGAGTCTGAAGGAAATTCTTCCTTGTTCCTCCTTGCAAAGACATCAGGTTGGACACAGAAAGCTGAGTATTAGATTTACAACGAGGCCACACTGTCAACTATGCAACTCAAAAACCACCATTCCTCTTCTCAAGCGACCTAAAACATTCACCTACCGGCTTGAGCTGATTATGTCAGGTAATTAATGTCATTATAACTCCCTTAATGCTCATCTTCAGATGCAAGCTGTGCCGTAATGCGACCTCAACGTGACCTTGATGTCCCTTACCTCGTAAATTCCTTATGAAGTCCTCCAACAGCATCTTCCGGTCGGGCTTAATATTCGGGCTGTACATGTCGGTGTTGAGCAGAATGATGGCAAAGGCCAGGATGAAGATGGTGTCTGGATTGTGAAATTGCTGCACCACATCCGGGTTGCACATGCAGTACCGCTGACTGTGGGTGTAAAGGAAAAGGGAAAAAACGGGACAGAAAACAGTAAAACATTACATGTTTTATGTAAGATAATATAGAATGGGAGTAAAATGAATAAAGTTGGGGGTAAGGATGGTTTATCCATGTAGGAATGACACAGGGTGGGACAGGAAATGGGACATATATAAATATACACAGGAGACACTTTTTAAAACACTGCATGCTATTAAAATTACAACATTAGCATAAGAGTGTCACACTGAAATGAGAGTTATGGCTTTAATTTTGCCGGTGGCTTCACATGAAGCTGTAAGCTGCCCCTCAGCACCAGTGCGTTGGTGAGGTTGTGTGAGCTCTGCTAAAACTCATTTCTCCCACTGGAATGAATACTTATATGGGTCATGCATCACACTAGAAACTGAGGGTGATGTTGCTGACAAAAACAAAGGATTTGACCTTCTTTTTAAGTGTTTCATCCTCTCTGTTACTTGCACTAAGCACCCCAAAATCCTGAAAAGTCAAGTCCTATTCTGCAGTTAATCACTGTCTGACGTTTGCGGGCTTAGTTGGATGAATTTTTTGCAGGTTGTCATTGTGCAGAAGAGAAAATACTTGAATACTGAAATGTGAAATCCCTTACCTAGGCACCTTTTCTGCAAGCAAAGGCTCAGTTTGATTTACTTTCCTAAGTATAAGAAGTGTTGTGTTGGAGTGTAGATTTGTAGATGCCTACACATACATTATATGTGTCTTCCTAGAAGCCTAGAAGGTGGTGTGGTGCAAGAATAACTTCATGGTTAGGTGATGAATAATAGAAAAGAACATCCAACATGTATATGGAAGGCATATATAGATTTAAAAAAAAGGTGTGTGGCTTTCTGTTGAAATATCTATCTATCTATCTATCTATCTATCTATCTATCTATCTATCTATCTATCTATCTATCTATCTATCTATGTATGTACGGTAATCATGAATTAATCACCCCTGCTACAGAGCATTTTTAAGTAAAGATCAGGGGTTAAAGAGCACAGAAAAGGTCGGGAGCAGCATTCTGGTATTTCTGATTAATAAATAAATACATAACAAATCCAAGTGCGTACATTTTCCTTGTGCTGCTTCCTGAGGTTTCTTTCAGGTGATGTCAGGTGACACATCAGTAAATGTCACCCTGCGGCTTTGCCCCTGCACTCAGACATGTTTCTGCACTCTCCTCCAGTCCCTATTGTGGATACAAGCATGCAGTAAATGGCACTGTGCTGTTCCTGGGACACGTTACTTATCGTCTGCATATGTAAACAGAGTTGCTTTTTGTGAAGTGCTACGTCTTTTTAAATGCAACAATGCAATCAGTCTCAACACATGTCACCACAAAGTTAGGAAGTTGTTCAAATTCTAAATGAAAACAGAACGGAATGATTTTTAAATCTCACAAGCACAGAAAATATATCAAATGTACTAGCGTACCATTTTACGAGAAACATAAAGTCATTTTGACCTCATAAAAGTAGTTTACCACTGTATAGCATGCCGTCTTTTTTTACAAGAAGGAATTTTCTTTCTTTTATTTGAACAGTTTCTTAACATCTGCAAACTGATGAGATTAGTCCCATTCTTGTATGAAATCGGTGTCCAGATGCTCAACAGGCCTGGGTCATTTTTGCAATATTTTTCATTCCATGATGCTGATATGTAATTGTATGCGGTTTAGTCTTGCTGCAATATGCATTTTCTTCCCTGAAAAGGACAACATCTGGATGGGTACATATGTTACTTTGAAACCTATATATGTCTTTTAAGCTTGATGGTGCCTTTCCAGATGTGCAAGTTGCCAATTCCATAGACATTAATACACTGCCATAACCATCAAAGACGGGTTATCTTGTTTTTGTTTTTTTACGGAGTGCTGATAACAAGCTGATGGTCTCACTCCTCCTCTCACTTTGATTCGCCTGACCACAGAATAGTTTTTCACTTTACGTCGGCCTATTTCAAATAAGCTTTATTAGACAGCAGTTTGTTGTGAACTGTGCTCACAGACAATGATTTCTGGAAGTGTCCCAGCGGTCACTGAGTGATTTCGGTGACAGAAAGATGCGGTGCTGCCCGAGGACCCAAAGATCACGGGCATCCAAAATCAAGATTCAGTCTTGACTCTTGCACGTAGAGATTTCTCTACTGATGATCATGACGATCATGATTACTGCCGATGATGAGATATTCAAAGTCATTCCGATTTTATGCTGAGGAACATTATTCTGAAATTGATTTACAATTTGTAGACAAAGTTTTTTGCAGATTGGTGAATTTCTGTCCAACTTTACTTCTGAGATATTCTGCCCCTCTAATATGCTCTGTATATATCCTGTCATGGTGTTGATGACTGTTGCTAATTACTTAATTAGTTGCTGAACGTTCCTCCAGCTGTTTCTTTTTAGTATCTCTTACTTTTCCACCCATTTGTTGCCCTGTCTCAACTGTTTTGAAACCTGTTGCTGTCATCAAATTCAAAATTACGTTGTTTTTTTTTCTCAAAATGATACATTTTTTCAAACATTTCATGTTATATTCTATTATATGGATTAATGAGACTTGCAAATCACTGCATTCTGCTTTTAATTACACTTTACACAACATGTCAAGTTTTTTTTGAATTGGAGTTTTACTACAATAATGGTTTGAAAAACACCCACCGTAATGTGGTAGCTCATGTAACATATAAAAATAAATTGTCGAACTGCAATCAGCATTATTCTACAACATAGTTGATAACTGTGTGTGTACAAAGAGTCTGCTAGAACAGTTTGCATTCTGGGAGTAATTTTTAAGGTAGTTAATCCTCCCCTACTTACCCACGTTCTATATAGGCGTGCATGCATGTAGCTTCACGCTTTCTGTGCCAGTTTTGAATGTGCTTTCTAGGGCTCAGTCTCAATGATTACACATGTGCATGTCTAGATATATGTTTGAGTGCCTTAAATGAAATGTTTTGCGTATTTGTGGCGTCCCGCATACTGTATTTGCTTTAGTGTGATAATCACAGGGCACACAGATGCTCATTCACATCTCACTGTCTGAAAACCATGACTTGTCAGCAACCAATAATTACACCCTTGTCTGTGAATCCTAATGTTGCACCATGCAGTGAGAAAAACCTCAATTTATGTCGCTTTCTGAGTATGTTGTTACTCTTCACAGATAGGCATGGAAAAATGACTAAGTAAAAAACGAAAATGAGAGGGTAAAATGACATATGATGCTTCTCGCTGAATTGATTTGTCAGTTTTTGGCAATTTAGCTTTTCTTTCAAATTGCCCTGAATGGTGTAATACATCATCATGCGCTCCTTGGGTGGATTTTAGTGCGAAATTATATAAGATGCATGGTCTTCATCGATGAAGACTGTAATATACAGAGCAGATACATAACACAGTGATTACATAGTGAGTAAATATAAACAGATATCACACTGTAATACAGGAAGGAAAACATAAACTGAATATATCTGCAGCATTTGGAGATGATTCATATTTGCTCATTCATTAGTACACTGACGCAGCAGATACTGAGGCTACTGGGTGTTTTTCACTTTTTCCCCTCGCTGTTTTTCACTGCTGCTTCAAATCCCCTTCACTTACTTTTGAGACTTCTCTCTTTCTGTGTGTGTGTGTGTGTGTGTGTGTGTGTGTGTGTGTGTGTGTGTGTGTGTGTGTGTGTGTGTGTGTGT